GCGTTGCCCAAATGAAGATTTTCAGGGGTAATAGGCTGAAATGTGGAATTAAAAGCCAAAAAGAAACAACACAAGGAGAAAGATAATTATTTCTTATTGAAAATATTACAGATACGTTAATTTAAAAGAGATTTTATGCATGTAGCCCACTCGTGCAAAATTTATTTACAGAATTTGATGAAACAGTGAAAAGATAAGGGAAAGATAATGTGTGCTATTAGAAGCCTGTCCGTAATCAGTTCACTTGGAAATATTTAGAGTTTTACTTTATTTGTCTTTCATTATTATTCTACAGTAATCTACAATTATTTTTAATTCATTTGGAATCACTGAGTTTGCCTGTTTAACAAGCACTATAGAATTACAATTGAATATTTGTCACAGCTTCTACTATAAAAATGAAAGTTTTGTAGTCTTTCTTACAGTTTGGATTCTTAGTAACTCTGATACCTCTATATCTGCAATGTCTTTCATATCCATTCTTGGTTAAAAAAAATGTTTTCATTAATGACTTCTAGCACTCATAAGTATGGTGATATATTTAAAACAAAAACTTCTTTACAGGTCTGGGAAAAGATTAAGAATTTATGGTGACCACTCTCACAATGATTTGCAAGGACAAATGCAGTTGAGAGATTTTGATTTCATTAATAAGGGACCTGGGCAAAGACGAAGACCATTTCATGACCATCAGACTCAGGACGATTTAAGAGCGCCAGTGCAGATGAGAAATTGGGACTACAACAGAGGACCAGGACAGAGGCGAAGACCCTTTCCTGACCACCAGTTTTATGATGATTATCAAGAAGATATGCAGCTGAAGGACCTAGAACTCAGTAATAAGGGACCTGGACAAAGGCTGAGACCTTTTCATGGACACCAGTTTCGTGATGATTTACAGGCAGAGAGACAATCAAGGGATAGTGAATTTAACAGAGGCCGTGGACAAAGGCAGAGAACTTTTCCTGACCATCCATCTCATAGTAAATTGCAGGAAGACAGGCAATCAAAGGATTTTGATTTTGGTAGCAGGGGCCGTGGCCAGAGACGAAGACCGTTCCATGATCAGCAGTCTCGGGATGAATTTCAGACTCAGATGCAGTTGAAAGAGTTAGATAGTGTCAACAAATGTCCTGGCCAAAATCTAAGATCTTTCCATGACATTCAGTCGCATGATGATGTACAGCCACAGATGCAATTGGGAGATTTTGAGTTTGTTAACAGGGGTCGTGGGCAGAGGTCAAGACCTTTCAACGATCACCAGCCTTGCAATGACTTACACACAAAGACACAACTAAAAGATTATGATAGTAAAGGTCCTGCACAAAGACGCAGACCTTTTCATGACCATCAGCCTTATGATGACTTACAGGAACAGACTCAGTTAAAAGATTTCAATTATGTTAATAAAGGTCCTGGACAAAGGTCAAGACCTTTTCATGATCATCCCAGTCCTGATGACTTGCTGCATGAATGGTGTTCAGACAGGTAAAGCCTCCTTGAGCTGTAAGACCAGAATTAAACAATATAAGTGTAAACCTCAGCACTTCTAAATTAAATTTCACATTAATTATTTTTTTTAAATAAATTAATTTAAAATAAATGAGTCATCCTTTGAAAATCACATACATAAATGATCAGTTAATTAACTTGTTTTGATTTATGGAAGGATTTGATGGAAGCTGGAGTGCTGCAGCTTTGAAAGCCAGTGTTTCCTAAATTAGAAGGTTGTGCTTCTTTAAAGTGTGTTTCCTTTACCTTTTCAGAGTTGACTTGAAACAAAACTTTTTGTCCCTTTTTTTTTAAGAGAAATTTACATTTAAAAAGCAATCCTCCAAACAGAAGAGGATATGAAATTTACGCCCTCAGCTAGAGATAAACAGTAATGCTACAAGGAACTTTGACTTGGATTTGTTTATTCCATGAGTTAATAATTTGTGAGAAATCCCTTTGCTTCTGAACTTGCATTGTATTCTTCCAAAAACACGTATCACTTATTAATAAACCTATTGGATTTTGCCTTAATATTTCAGATATTTGTTGGGCTAGTAAAATTTTATTTAATTTCTTCCATTGTACAGCTGAAACAGAGGATATCATTACAATGAAGCATACAATTTCAGGTGTTAAATTAATACAATTAAGATAGTTTCAATTAAAATTTTAAGTAAATTTTGATTAAAAAGACTTTTATATTCATTTGGGGGCTGTTTAGCTCAGTTGGTTAGAGCATGGTGCTGATAACACCAAGGTCACGGGTTCGATCCCCGTTTGGTCCCCATGTGTTGCCTGATCTAGTTGAGAGGCGTCCCTGCCCATGACAGGGAGGTTGAATTAAATGATCTCTAAGGTCCCTTCCAGCCTAGGCCATTCTATGATTATATGATTATATGATTTGATAATTGCATTATTTTTCAAAAGCTTGCAACTGTTGCTCCTCTTTTTACCATGTAATTCTTTTGGTTGTTTGCAGAAGTCAGTCTTTTTCTTCCCATGAAAATGTACCAGAACCTCATTTCTCCTCATCTCCTTCACTTCACAGAGATTATGGGTCTGATAATGATAACTTTAACAGAAGTTACAGGTAAATAGATTTCATACGTTGTTTTCTGACTTGCATTTTACTGCTACTCCCAGAGTTTCCCAGCTAAAAAATACAAATTAACCACGTAGTATAAAAGTTTATGTTAGTGTTTTTGCTTAAATGCAGTTTAAACCATGGAATCTGAACACTGAGCAAACAATGTGACTAATTTGTGGTTCAGTTTGAGTGTGATTATGAAATGGCTTGAAAATCCCTGACATAAGTCATCGACAGGATGTGCACAGTTCAAGCTAACATATTACAAAATATGGAAAGCTATTGTTAGTAAGCAAAAAAGCAAAATCCAGATGCTATATTTAACTTCTAACTGCTGTCTGCAGCAAGCTAATTAATTTTACTGTGAGGGGTGATCAGGCACTGAAACAGGTTGCCCAGAGTAGCTGTGAAATCCCCGTTATTTTAGGTACTTAGAATTCAGCTGGACACAGCCTCTGCACAAACTCATCTAATAGACTTTGAGCAGGTTGCCCTAAGTACTCCTAGACATCCTCTCCAGTCTAAATTAATCTATGGTTCATTGAGGCAGAAGATTTTAAAATTACAAAGATTATTCTGAATTGGCTTTATACACCACTTATTTTACAGTGTAAGTAAAGAGAATCCAAACCAAAATATGTATATATCTTATCTGAACTTTTAGGTCCTTCCATATGTGTTTTGCAGGAAAGTGATTCTTCTATTGCAGAAGAATTAATAATGAAAATATTTGGAGCTATAAATGCAAAGTATATCATTGCTGTTGAGACTATGTACTTGGGAGCTACTATTATGTATTATTCACAAAAATGAAAACATGGGCTTAGGAACAAAAAATGCCCCTAGGTAAAGAAACCTTTAGTAAACAGAAAATTTTAATTAGAAACAGCACTTGAAACTAAACGGCTTCTAGTGGAGTTACTTACTATAAAGAGATGTAATTTTTATCACTAGAACTGAAAAATTAATAGAAACAAGTTTGTCACATTCAGTAGAGAGGATTTTAATTTTAGGAGGTAAAAACAAGAATGAGAGTCTGAATTGTTCTTTTAAGATTACACAAGTTTAATATCTAATGGTGGCCACCAACAATAAATCAACTGTTTTATTTCTAAGGATTTCACTGTTCATGTTTGTTCGTCTTACAGTAATCGACCAAATTGTCCAGAAGACAATAGGAGAATGCATCCCTCAACTGGATTTAATAGAGGAAAAAACAGGTTTGCACCATATTCTTCACGAACAGTGCATCCATCTTCATCTGTACAGCAAGAAGATAGTTCAATAGACTATGAACAAAAACCTTTTCAAGGTGAAACTACCAGAGAAATGGAACAAAGCAAAAAATTACCAGTTGTAACAGTTGATTACAATTATGGTCTGCCATTAGATTATGGACCTGAAGAGGAAGAGAGAACACATTATCATTTACCTCCAAGGGACCGCTACAACTGGAACTGAATAAAAAGGATAATGTTTGTTCAGCTTAGACTTACTCATTTTACTTTGTATGTGGACCAATTAATTATTTTAACAAATTATGAAAATGCAGATTTCAGTAGTAGAGAATTGGTCTCTGTTGTAAGATTAGCTTCTACTGATGTTTGGTTCTTGAAATTTATTAGGGTGTATTTTTTAAGTGTAGTTGGAGACAAGGTCTTGGTACACATGGAACTAAAGTACTCCTTTTAGTTAAAATTGGAACTCTATACGTTAAACAACTTTATGAGTGACTAGTTGTGTCTTTTGGTTTACATTTCTTTAAAAAGTATGTAATTTCTGGATGTGAAAGTCATAATAAAATACTGCACTATCAGGTAGACTAGCCTTGAAATTATAGAAAAATACTATGCAATGAATGAAGCAAAGCTATCTCCAATTCATCCTTTAATTTGAAGATAGCAGTTTGAATTACTGCTACCAGTTTCTGCAGCACTGCAATTTAATTCCAGATTTTCTGTACCATGAACTGACCTAGTTGCACTCTTTTTTAAATAGCAGAATTTTTCCCAGATTGGTAAGAACACGGAAGCAAATGGAATTTGAACACCTTAAAGGACATACTTGTTTTTCAGTAATCTGAATATTCCAGCCTGACTGTATACTTTTTCCTGGTCCCATGGGTTACATATGTTTCTGAATAGCTCACTGCAGGTAAATTTCACAGTTTTCCAAGCAACACATCCAGCTGAGGTAGCTCATGTCTCATCAGTTTACCTGTAACAACTGCTCAAGATGATGTCCTTTTTTCTCAGTTTTATGTGTCTTACTCTCCAGTTCTATATTTTATTAGTTTCTTTTTACAGCACAGCAGAGTAATGCAATCACAACAGAAGAATAACCTCTTCAAGTAACTCTGCACTGCCACTTCAGTTGGTCTCAGGAGATATTGCAACAAGTATTAAGTGAATTCAAGCCAGCAGCTGCACAGTAGCACCAGCAGCTCCTACTGTGAATAGAGAAATCTTAGTTCATAGGATGGAAAGCAGTATTAATGCAATACTTAGGTATTCTGAATTTGGGTTCTATGACTACTAAATAAGGACTAGATCTGAAAAGTGTGGAACATCTAGCAAGTCCTGCTGTTTTGTAACATATGCAAAAAGCTCCCCAAATCAAAAGGATTCTGTGGAGGATATAAATTCAAACTGCAAATGCTTCATTGCCTTTGCAGCTGATAGAACAACTTTGGCTTTGTTAACCATACAAAGTAAATAGTTTTCTCATTTTCACAGCAGCTAGTCAATTGTATTTCCCATTAAATCTCTGATTGTGAGCCTCATTCATGTGGTCTCAGGAATGAAACTCAGTATATATAAACTGTTCGTGGAACTGAGCACTAAGCGTTCAGAAAAGGCATTTGTTCCCTCACTTTTTTGTTTAATGAGGGGTAAGCTGAGAAGCTTTATCTAGGCGTCTTTATTTAGAGGCAAGGAAGATCTGCAATATGGGCTACTATATTTCTAGATTCTTTATAAAAGGAACAAAAAACCCCTTCCAGCAGGGAACTAAGAATTAGAGACTGGTATTACAAGCATTTAAGATTTTTTTTTTGTAATGTGTATGCAGTATTCATAAAGTGAATAAAGAGCAAACATTTGCCCTTCCCATTTTGTGGTTTGGGGTTTGAATTATGTTTTCTAGGATTGAAGTGACCCTACAATCAATCCCTTTCAAGCTGGAGATGCTAGGACTCCCTGGAGAGCTGAAAAGCTGGTGCACTGGAAAGCTCAGTGCAAAGAGAGGAGTTAGGATCAGAACTGGTCATTACTAGACCTCGGTCAGTTCCTGCAGGACTCTTTGAACAGCCAGATGGTATAATTCCTGTTCACCAAGGGCAAGTCCTGCCTGCCCAACCTGGTGTCCTTCTGTGATGGACTGACTACATCATTGGAGGAGGGAAAAGCTAGAGACATCATCTATCTGGATTTCTAGACCTTTGACATGGTCCTCCACAACATCCTTCTCTCTGAATTGCTGAGATGAGGATTTGATGTGTGGACTGTTTGGTGGAAGAGGCATAGGTTGGATGGTTGCATCCAGAAGAAAGTAGTCAATGGCTCGATGTCCAGATGGAGATCAGTGATCAACAGTGTCCCGCAAGGGTCTGTACTGGAACCAGTGCTGCTTAGTGTCTTCATCAATAACAGAGGGGATTGAGTGCACCCTCAGCAAGTTTGCAGATGACACCAAGCTGAGTGGTGCAGATGGCACGGCTGAGAGATGGGATGCCAACCAGAGGGATCTGGACAAGCTTGAGAAGTGGGCGCATGTTGAACCTCACGAGGACCAAATGCAAGGCCAGGTATGTGGGCTGGGGCAATCCCTGGTATCAGTATGCGCTGGAGTGTGAAGGGATTTAGAGCAGCGCTGCAGAGAAGAAGTTGGGGCTACTGGTGAATGAAAAGCTGGACATAAGCTGGGAACGTGTGCTCACAGTCCAGAAGGCCAATCATATCCTGGGCTGCATGGAAAGAAGCGTAACCAGCAGGTCAAGGGAGGTGATTCTCCCCTTCTATACTGCTCTCATGAGACCCCACCTGCAGTACTGCATCCAGCTTTGGGACCCTCAAAATAAGAAAGACCTGTTGAAGCAGGTCCAGAGGAGGGCTACAAAAAACATGTGGGGGATGTGACACCCCTCGTGTGGAGAAAGACTCAGAGAGTTAGAGCAGCCTAGAGAAGAGAAGGCTCCAAGGTGACTTTATTATGGCTTTTCAATACTTAAAGGGGCTTAAAAGAAAGATGAAGACAATCTTTTCAGCAGGGCCTGTTGCAACAGGACAAGAGGTAATGGTTTCAAACTAAGAGGGTAGGTTTAGACTAGATATAAGGAATACATTTTTTACAGTAAGGGTTGTGAAACACTGGAACAGGTTGCCCATAGAGGTGGTAAATGCCCCGTCCCTGGAAACATTCAAAGTCAAGTAGGATGGGACTCTGAGCAACCTGATCTAGTTAAAATATGTCCCTGCTCACTGCAGGGGAGTTGGACTACACAACCTTTAAAGGTCATCTATGATCCTATGATTCTGTTATCTGACAAAATAAAGATTGCTTTCATAACTATGTTGGATTTCTCTTTTCAAGCAAAATTAATAGACCTGATGTTTCCATAAAATGACTTTGAAATGACTATGTGAAAATGGCAAAAGTTGTGTTTGTAAATATATACTTTAATATTTTTCTAGAATTTAGGATAAGGCTTTCTGCTCTATTGTTCCTAACGGAATTAGGGAGAGCTAAGCCCACATAATACATTACAAACTGTTACTGACATTTATCTCAAAATCCACAGCTGAGTCATCATTGCATAGTCGCATCTGTACTATTCAATTACTAATTGATCCACATGGTGAAGAATTAAATGAAATGAAATAAAATATTTCTTGTTCATTTATCTGAATATCTTATTAGTGGCACTCTTAAAAAAAAATCACACAAAAAGGTCCCAACACTTTTTCTCTTACTTATTTAACAGTTCTACAAAAATGTCATAAAATCTTGCTGGCCTCTTTTGTATATGTTCACAGCAAATCTAGAAATAGCTGTTGTTCTATCACAAAGCAATAAAAAGCAAGACTTGGATGCAGTGTTGGTTTCCCACTCCCCTGAGCATGAAATCCTGAAGAAAAACACAAGGATACAGAAAACGCAGAGGCAGCATAAAATTATTTGAAAGAGTTGTAAATTTTTAATATAACTATTGAACTCTAAACTCACAGAAAACCTCTTTTTCTGTTGCTGTCCTGAAGTCATGATTTAATTGGAGGCCTGATTTTTCCGGTGTGTTGAAGCCGTGGGGCCAGGTCACCCTGAGGTGTGATCATACTGAGTTAGGAAATGTTCAGATTGTTCCTGGAAAGTGCTGGGAGAAAGTTTGGATGAGCTCTATGCAGAAGGCTGGCTCCCAAGAAGGGCTTGGGAAAAAGTGATGTCAGTTCCCCAGGAAACTAGAACGCAGGTACGCAACTAAATTTATATGTAAAAATCTGCAATACATGTTGTATTGGGTTGGCTCAGCCGGATT